CCTTTTCCCACGCAGCCCTACCTGCCTCTGCTACAATTTAATGTCTTGATGAGAGCCATCCCTCCTGGAATAACTTAGGATGAGTTTTAACTTAGATTTCTCCAATGGCTGGAGATATTGAACATGTTTTAATATTTTTATTGGCAGTTTGTGCTATTTCTTTTGAGATGTGTTTATTCATTTCTGATGAGTCCTTTTATCTCATTTATTTCTTGCTTTATTTATTTTAGATAGTAGTCTTCTGTCCAAGGAAGACCTGGAAAAATCTTTTCCCATCCTCCAAGCTGTCTCTTTATTCTATTGGCTGTTTCCTTTGCTGTCAGGAGGTAAGTTAAGCTAAGCTGATTTGTAGAAACTTGATGATGTTCCTTGTGAAACTAGGATTCTGTTCCATAAGTTCTTCCCTATGTCACTGATAGTTTTGCATATATTCCAGCAGATTAAGTGTGTCTGACTTCATCTATAGGTCTGCAATCTATTTTAAATTAGGTTGGTACATGGTGAGTGACATGGCTCTAGATGTTACCTTCCACGTGTGCATCATTTCCTCAGCATCTTCTGTGTCATGGCCTGCCTTTCCTTCAGCAGGGTTTTGTCTCTGTTCTCAAAGGTCACACACTGAATGTGCCTGGGGTGCTTGCTGCCTCTTCCTTTACAGTCCAGTAATCCACATATAACCTCACAAAGTAGTACTATGCTGGTTTCTTTTAAAATCACTCTAGGTTTGTACCTTGAAAGAGGCATTGTGATGCCTCTTTCTTGGGGTTGTTGTCCAGGATTGCATTGGCTATTCTGGGTCTTTTCAGGTTCCGTTTAAATTTTTGGATTTTTTTTCTTAAATTGTAGAAACACTTTTGGAGGTTTATTTAACATCTGTTGAAAGTATTTTTTTTCTGAATTGTATTAGGGTTAATTAATGAAACAGTATTGATTTTTGTCCTACTATTTTGGTGCATTTCTTATTAGTTTTTATTAGGACTCTTTCCATGGAATTTCTTGGTGTGTTATGTAAAGGACCCATGATGTGTGGCTTAAGTGATTTGACCTCTTCCTTTCCTGTGCAAGTCCTTTAACTTCTCTCTCTTGCCTGGTTGCTCTAGGGAAAGTAGTAAGTACAGTACTCTGCAGTGGTGGTGACAGTGGAAATCCATACCTTCTTCCTAATTTTAAAGGAAAGACCTTGTTTTCTTTCCCCCCACCATTTCATATGATAGCACGTTTTTCCTAAATGGTTTTTATCACTCATTCTCTACCTACTTTCAACCGGGTTTATCATTTGTGTATCTTGAGTCACTCTTTCTTCTCTGCAGTTGAGCCTACTCTGTCATGATGATTTTATCAGTGATTGGTTGCACTCTACTTGCCACTGTATTGTTGAAATTTTTACATGTATCTTCACTGAAGAGATTATTGGCCTGAATTTTTCTTTATATTGCAGTGCCTGTTTTGGAATCAGCGTAATGAATGTTATTGTTATGGATTCAAGACTGGTGGTCAATTTCACACCAGCTAAACTGAATCAGCCTGGTGCTGAGTGTAGATGGCTCATTTGAGGAAAGTTGCCAGCATAAAAGGAGCCATGGAGAGAAAGAAGTTACATTGTGGGTTCTCCTAAGTGTGGCTGTTTGGAGCTTTGGTTCTCCTGGAGGGGCTTCCCTGATATGAATTGGCCAATATCAGTGGAAGAGCTTGAGACCTTGTTGGTGAGAGTAGCTGTGGTTCACTTTGGGGAGTGTTGCTCCTCACATTGAGCATCGCTTCCTGGCTCAGGAGGGAGAGCTATGTGCTGCTTAATCTCCAGGAGAGGCTTGTCACACCAGCTTCCTGTTATGTACTCAACTGTTCTCATTGGAGAAGGTTGGGACCTTCTTGTCACTGAGAATGGCTGTGTCACTTTTCAGAAGAGCTCAAGATCTTATTTTGAGCATCGCTTCTTGGCTCCTGAGTGAAACCCTCCACCTACTGGCACAGACCCTTCACCCACTGCTATAGACTGTCTAGCTTCTAAGATTGGCATGCTTAATTTTTTTGATGTGGGCATTCACAGCTATAGTTCCTTGCTCACCACTCCTTTTTCTGTTCCATGGTTGTGGTTGTGCTGGCAGTATCATTCATGTCTGGGAACTGCCTCATTTCCTCTATGAATGTTTTTGTTATCTGCTGACCATTCATTGTTTAATCCTCACTTGTTTGTACAACTTCTGCAGTTTCTTTAGCCATTCATTTCTAGTTTTATTGGATTAGGATCCAATAAGATGCATGGAATAGTATGTCTGTTTTTGCTATCAAAATTTATGCATTTGAAGTTAAATGTAAGCCCAAGGCAGTTATATACAGATTTCTCTGAGAACTTGGTCTTTTAGATTTTAAATTCAAGTTCACAGGAAAATTAGAGTTCATTTGCTTGTGATATAAGTGTCCCAATTTTTTGCAATCTAATCCAATCAGTGACTGAATTATGACATAAATTGAATGCTCCGAGTAGAAGAGAATTACCACAATGATGGCATGGATTGAGGAGGAATGTGGTTCTGAAATCTAAAATGTGTATATAAGAGAAGGCTCATGAAGGTTGGACAGTGAACTTTTAAATTCCAATGAGTTTAACTCCAGATGAGTCATTTGCCCTGTTCCCGCACCCAAGCAAATGTACTCCCCAGGCTGGGTGATGGCCTCCTATAAGAGTGCTGTCATGCAGGACACTGCCAAGTGCCCCCGGGACCATTCCCATCCTTCTAGATCAAGAGTGACATTCATGTCCAAGCAGGCTTCCAATGGTGGAAAGTTAGCTGTGACCATGAGGTGCTTCACTACCTTCCAAAATTTTTTTTCGTAAGCAGATATTTGGAAATACATGTAAGAATTCATGTTAAATTATGAGATAATGGTGGTGGTGGGGGAAGCCACTAGGTTTTACTAGGTCCAAAGAAACTACTAATGAGTGTACTTCGAAGCTAACAATCAAACCCAGCCTTCATGACTCCTCGGTGAGGAAGACAACACTGCCTGTCCTCCCAGCTCCAGGAAGATCTGGAGACATGGGGACTTGAAATCAGAAACTCTGCATTTTATGCGGCCAATGAGGGAGTCAGGAGTCATTAGCAACAGATTCTGCAGACTTGAGGACTCCAGTAAGTAAGGAGGCCCACAGTGAGCAGACTGGGCAAGTTTCTGGAGGGCTGCATGGCCCAGGGTGCCCAGAGTGTGAGGGTGGCACTGTCACTTCAGCACCCACTGTTCTTCCCTTGTCAACACTGCCCACCTCCAGGAGTATCCTGGGGACATCATTTACCACAATGTTGAGAAACAAATTGGTGAAAGGAGCCGATGTGCTTGAAGAGAAACACTATACCTGTGTGTTTGGCAGGCTCTGTGGTTGCTGAGGGTCTAAAATGGAAGGCCAGGACAATAGTTCCCAGGAGGAGAGGGGAGGTGATTGTGAGGGATCCATGGAGAGCAGAGTCAACATGACAGTAAGAACACCTAGACGTGTGACAGTGTTAAGGTCACTGCATTGTTGCAGAGAGTGAAACGAATAGGAAGCCTGGTCAGGTCCTGTTTGGGCTTTAAAAAATATCTGAAAGTTGTCAGACTGAAAACCCAATGCCTTGTGTAAATCCTACCTAAGTAAATAAAGGAATTAAAGTTGGAAGCTCGGGAGGAAGGGATGTTACACATGGGGGACAGATCCCACCTTTCCCAGTATACTCAGGGTTTGTGTCAAGATGGCATGGAAGCCAGCACAGATTTTGTAAACTATTTCTGCAAGGATATCCGCCGAGAAGCAGGCTGTGCAGTCTCTGGCTGATGCCAGTGTTGATGCTTGTCATCGGGACCAAGGCTGACTGTTTCTGAATGTCAGCTGACCCCCTCCTCACTTGGTCTCTAATAGACCATTGTCTGCACCTGTTTGAATATGCCCACAGAGGACTGTGGGGTGCCTAGCCCCAGAGCCAAGCTCTGCTATTCTCAAAGACCAGTGCTTTTTAGAGCTTCCATACGATTTTTCTAAATTCATGCTGACATCTACATCAGTAGCAAAGTTCTGAGTGAAAGACATATCTTCCTTGAATCATAAACTCAAAGTCATGACTGCTAACCCACCACTAGGCTCCAGAGTGCTCTGAGACCCGGAATTCCCTGAAGAAGGTGGAGCTAAGGCTCCTGGAGGATGGACACAAGAACATATAATGACATCCCCTGTGTTTGCATGCCTGGAAAGTCCCGGTTAAGTTAACAGCTGTACAGATCCTGGCCTTTTCTCCTCATCCTCTGTGTCCCTTGCACAACAGGATGGCACACTAAGGGTTATTAGTGGGACTGGAGATGCAGGCTTTACCATGGGTGACTGTCATCTGTGTTGACAGTTGCTAGAAGTGGAAGAGGTCATTGCTGGTGGAGATTAGCAGCATCCCACACACGGTTAGGAGCATTGAGAGGTTTATGGGAGGTGAGGAGTTGACCAGTTGTCCTACATCAGTCTGCATTTGGAGACCCAGCAGCAAGAGAGGACTGAAAGCAGATGTCGACCAAGTGGTGTGATGTACAGCTCAGCCTGTGGTTTTGGCAGAGTGAAGAAGCTGGTCTGGAAAGCAGAAGTTAGATGTCAAGAGTGAGCCTCCAGTCGGAGGATGTTAATGCTCACATGTGAGGCTCTCGTTGCAGAGGGGAAGTTGCCCACTACCTGCAGCGCAGAGGGACAAGGCAGAGGCTGGGCTGTGTAGATATTCAATCTCCCTAATCTTCACAACGAGCTGGCATCAGGGTCTTCCAGGCCCAGGGGTCCTGCAGCAGCATCCAATGGACTGAGCAGGCACCTCCAACCTCACAGGAGCCCACTGTGTCCCCCAGTGGAGTGTGGGGATAACAGCAAGGGGATGTGGTTTCACCTAAGACCTGGTCATCCCTGCCCAGAGCCAGGCAGGTGGGACAGGTTTCTCTCTTTCCATGCCCCACACCTTCTCACCCTCAATCATACTGACACAAGAGCCATGCTGGTCTGAGTGTGAGATGCTTCTGGGAGACTTGTTTATTAAGAAAGTGATCACACATCTGAGGCCAAGGTGCTTTGCCTCCAGGCCACCCTCAGCTCACTTGCAGCAGAGGTCCGTTTCCAGGCCACAGGATCCAATGGCATCATAGCTGGCAGGGCAAGCATAAGAGTAACAGTTTCCTCCTTGACTGACGCACTGCAGGAACAGGTTACGTTTGCTCAGACCTGCGAGAATGCTGGCACCTGCAATGAGGGAACAGAGCTCTCCAGACCTGTCGCGTTGGCACACTGCTTTAAGACATTGCTCAGCCCATCCCCCACAGCAAGATACAATCTCTCCAAGAGATTTCCTATTTCTAGGAACACACCTAGAACCCAAGGTTTGAAAGTGCTTTGAAAGAGTAAATGCTCACCCACCCCTTTTATTGTTGATTTTTGAATAATCAAATTCTTGGACTGTGAAAATTCCTTCCCTTTTCCTTTGAGGGTAAACTGAGGAGGTCCACATATAACAGAGATTGGAGAGGCAGGTTGGACCTCATAGCTCCGCTGATCTATTTCCATAGGACCCACTCGCCCAGCATTGTCCTGGGGCTGGAAGACAGCCTCAGGCCGAGGCAGGAGGGAGCAGAAGTCTCCGAACCTCTTCAGTCCTTCAGAATTTAAATAGTTCAGGAATGTGGAACCCAAAAATAAACCTCTAATAAGAGTCAAGCTTGCTGCAGCCACACCTTCAAGGTAGTGGGGAAGGGATGGCGCTCACTGCAGAGACTGTTTATCAGGGTGGGGAAGGGGGACATGTCCTAGGGAAGTCTTGATTTCAACACAGTTAGAGTAAGTAGCACCTGTCTATCAAGACCACTAATGAAGGGAAAGGAACAGAAAACTACAGATAAACCCCTTTGATGTAAACGCAAAAATCGAAAATAATTGCCAAACTAAATTTTAAAAAACAGGCTCTGTTTACTTTATAAACCAAATGTATCTTTTAATATCAGAATATCAAAACTATTACCTATAAACAGCTATAAACTCATATCATTTTTATTTACAGCAAATATATTGTAGCAAATTGATTAACTGATTGATTTGATCAGTTTTAAACTTTTAAAAACAACAGAAATCAAGGAATCTTTGTGTATTTGATAAAGAATAACTGAAGAATCTTACAATAAATTTGTGTTGCATGATCAAATAAAAGCTTTTCATTTGCTACTGGTGACAAAGTCAAAGAATAGATTCTACCAATTCCTGGAGACCTTGTGTCTGAGGTAACACACACACACACACACATCCCTCCAAAAGTATGAGAAATAAGCATAGGAAGAAATAAAACTGTCACAATTTGCAGGCCTAATGATTATAGCCAAAGCAAAAAGAATTTTGAAAAGTAGTTTGGAGAATATGCTGTGTATGATATCAATAGACCAAAAAGAACCCAGAGGAAAACAAAATCGATCAATTTTAAATCAGCACATTAGCCACCATTACAAAATAATATTAAAATAAAAGAATCACGTGTAAAAGCGTGAAGTATCCCATGCCCACTTACAAAGCTAAACACACCTGTTCAAGCTAAACACGCTTCTGTCACAAGACATAAAACAATTGGAACAGGAAGACCTGAAGAAGGGACACAGCCACATGCAAGCATCTGAACACAATGTGCCCCGCAGGCCCTGTGATTCCGCTTTCCAGCTCGTAGAAACACAGGCAAAGGAGGCTTTTCTGCTATCTGAATCGCACACACAAAGCAGCCTTGCTGTGCAGTGTGAACTGTGGTGGTGACCAGGTGGGCAGGCAGGAAGTCCTCATCACAAAGGCCTCAGCACGGTGACCCTGGGCAGAGGGAGCTGGGCTGAGAGGCTCCTGGGCTCTGTGGGCAGCTCAGGGCTCTTCCTGGGCCTCCTTGGGGTTCCGGGGGCTCCCTGCACCATGATTCTCTAAGCTGCCCCCCATGCTTTATGAGCTTCCCAAAGGCACACTGTTCTTAGAAAAAGTAAAACCTGAAAGAATTTCCTCTGGGAGGTCATTTTCATGTCCCAGAGCTGGGACCTCTCGTGCCCTATGATTCTGGCACCGTCTCCTGCCTGCAAGGGCCCCTTCTGCCCATGGGACCGGAGTGTCCCTGTAACTCACGGCCACATTCTGCTCCTCACCGGGCCCCAGATGCCCTCCCTGCCCTCACGTGGCACTTATTCTCACCCTTGTCCGCACTGAGCTGAAGCCTGCAATAGGTGTTAGGGTTCAGAACCAGAGGAATTTAGAGAGGAGAAGGGGGAAAGGTGGGGGCAGGACTCTGCAGAGCAGGACTGTGGTGGTTTCCACACTGTGCCCAGAGACTCCACACTGTGCCCAGAGATTCCACAATGCATTAGGCCAGTTACAGCTGGACAGCCGTGACCCTGCCTGGGGATGCAGTGACACCAACCACTCCTCTGCCAAGGGTCACAGCATGTGTTGGTTCTGTGAAAGGCAGCGTGGTCACGGGCTCCCAGGAAAGGAACCAGGATGTTAGTGTCGCTGAATCATCACGGAGAACAGGACAGAGAGGACAGAAGGGATCATAGCGCTGAGCACATGGCAGGCTTGATTTCTATGGCTCCTGAAAAGTCTGCTAAGGAAGAGTTCACAGGGACCCTGGTGTCACGGAGAAGACACATCTAGCACTGTGGTCTAGCACAGTGCAGATGCTGGTGCTTCCAGGAAGAGCAACTGAAAGGCCAACCGTGAAGACGATGTCCTAACCCAGAGAGGAAGCTCTGGTCCTGGGAACAAGCAGGGAAGCACAGTGGCTTCAGATGCCTTCTGGAGAGCAAGGGCAGGAGTGAGTGGGAGGATGTGCGTGTGAGGGCCTTGGTGATGGAGATGGGAACTCAGCTGTCTCAGCTCTGCTTTACTCCCCCCTGAGCCATGTGGGCACTGAGTTGGCCCGGGTGAAGCAGTGATAGGTGTGCCAGGCCCATCACAGCCACATGTGGAGCAGCACAGTGCAGGTGACAGGAGCTGGGGAGCCTGCACGTGCTGCATGGCTGTAGCTCCCTGTGGCTGGGCCGATGTGTTGCCACACATTTTTGTGTTTTCCAGAGCAGATAAAAACCTAAATTTCAGGTGATGAAACTCATTGACGACATTTTGGAAAGGAAATGAATTTTTAAACCAAGTTCACACACAAATCACCTCCAATCCCCATTCACTACCGCCTGAAACAAGCCTCAGACCTGTTCTGCTCTCTCTCTGGCCCCCTCTGGCCCCTCAGCTGCCCCCTGTGCACCTCCCAGGCAGGGACTTCCTGCTGGCTCACCTTCTGCTCTGCTCTGCCCTTAGCCTGGGAGGTCTGGCCCAGGGCCTGGGTGTTGCCAGCCTTCCAGCCTCAGGGCAGTGTCTGCACAGAGCAGATGTGGAGGAAGCCTCATGCTGGCTTGGTGTTCACAGACACAGGCTACCTGGCCTTATCATCCTGGCTGCAGGCAGTGTCACAGCAAGGCCATTTGCAGGAAGTGAGAAGGGCCGCCCGCTTCCTCTGAGATGGGAGGAAAATGCTCTCCCCATCATCAGGTTCACCCCCTGCTGCCTTGGCCTTGTTTCTCTGTGGTGATATGGACCAGTGAGCTCTGAGATCAGGTTTCAGGGATCCCCTACTGGGCTCAGTGGTCCTGGTACCTACTGAGCCAGCACCACCTCCAAGGCAGAGCACCCAGAGCTCCTCACTGAACTCCAGGTTGGTCCAGCTGAGTGGCGCAGGCAGGGGCTGGCACAGGGCTGCAGCACTGATGGTGACATCAGCAGCAGCTGTGTGTAACATGTGGGGTCACCGGGGTGAGTTTCCATGTCACAGTGTGTGTGATGCAGGAAGGTATCATTTGTTGCTCACAACTAAGAAAAAACCTTAGAAAACCATGAGCACCAGGTTAGAACATGCAGCAGAGTGTGTGTGGACTGTGGACGGCGTCCCCGCACACATGTATGGAGTGTGCGGCTCTAACCTGACCAGTGCTAATGTGTTCCATGCTTTTGTGTAAGGGCAGAATTATAGAATAGCAAATTTATAGATGTTTTATAGTAGAACCTAAAAATTAATTAGTGACCTATAACTGTACTCACACTGCCTGTCAGAAAGACTGCTAAACTCAGCCTTGACTGCCTGCATCCAGCTGTAATGTCTGCATGTTCCTACCTAAATATACATATGTAATTTTTCCAAGTTGCTTCAAGGATTTCCACATATGGAACAGACCAGCCCAGTCAGGGATACATTTAACTCTATTTCTTTCACTCAAACACTCCACCCTCCCAGGGTGTTCTTATCTTATTTTAAACAATTCCTTATAAGTAAATCTGCTTGAAACGAGTCAGCTTGACAACATATGACATAATGCATGTAACCAATCATGTAATAATCTATCAGCCTTGTACTCCCTGCTTGCAAAATGAATTTCAACTGAACTGCAGAATAACTCAGGGCTGGTGATTTGGAACTGATTCCCATCAGCCCTCTGGTAGAAATGTTGCCTTCTAAACTCATTGGAGTAGAGTGTCATCCTTTGAGTTCAGTACCAGGGTTCTGCAACATTTGAAGAAAAATATTGGTAGCTCACTAAAGGATCTCTCTCTAAAGGTCACAGGTGACAGTGCAGAAGCTCTGTACTTACACTGCAGCTGTGCTCAGGGCTCTAGTGGTAAAGGAAGGACTAAACGGACTCAGTTCCACAAATCTGCACAACAAGCTCATACCCAGAGGAGAGTAATGGGGTCTTCAGATAGTTTCTTGGCTGTGAACACTGAGGCTCACAGACCAATGACTTTCTGAGGTCACTGTAAATGACATAACAGAGACAGAAATGTGACCTAGACCCCCTAGGGAGTACCCAGCTTCTGTCATATCCGGATAACTCTGCTCTGTGCCAGAGAAACTGAGATCCTGGGTCCTAAATCACCCTGTCTTGAACTGGGGAGTCCTGGTCTGGAGAAGGAGCCTGGGTTCCCCAGGAAGGGGCAGTATTTCTGTGGTCTCCTGAAGCCTGCAGAGAGCTGAGATGTAGACGCTCAGACCTCTTCCCTGGGAGGAGCTGCTCAGAAGCACTGTGCTAGATGTGCCTTTTCACCTCAGTGCCTGATGCTGCTGGAGCTGTGCCACTCAGCCTCATGTGCCGTCCTGTCGCTGGACCCTGTGCAGCTGTCCTCAGCTATCACATGCTGCAGCATCTCCCACCGGACACCACATGTCCCCAGGCTTACCTTGAGAGAGGAGGAGGCAGCACATGAGCAACAGAAAGCAAGGAGTCCTCATGGTGACCTGCAGGCTGGCTCGGATGCTGAAGTGGGGAGAAAATTTCTCCACAGCTGGGTCCGCAGAGACTCCCAGAGGCTGGAGTGCAGCTGTATTTATAAGAATGCAGGATTGTGCAACCTCAGGATGGGCTGGGAGGAGGTTGTGCAATCTACAGTTAGGTTCTAGTAAATATCTCTCCTGCTGTTTGCCCTGATTAGTCTCCAAGTATTGTGGTCACATTGTCCCTATGTAGTGTGGGGTGAGTTTTGCTGTCAGACTGGAGATTAAGAATTGGCACCTCCGCCAGGGCTGTTTGTTTTCCAGGTTTGTTGGGGGGAAGGCAGCTCATAGTAGGGTCCGTTGAGTGGCAATGGCTCAGAGAGGCCCTAAATAGAGGGCAAAGCTGGAGCATGTCCTGACTTTTAGTCCTGCCTGCAGTTGATCCTTGTGTTTAGTTGTGTCACCCTCTCCCTGCGTAAAAGCTGAGCTGGTGCAGAGGGGGAAATTTGTCTTCAGCCTGAGGCTTTGTTCTCCTTCCTCTGCCCCATAGAACTCACTTCTCCAGGGGCCAAAGCTTCCTTCAAACATCTGGATTTTCTGACCATGAGTCCCAAGATGATATGACAAACTGTGGAGCTGCCCTAGCATAGCAGTTGGACTGCTATGGTAGCTGGCCACTGTGGATCTCTCATGGTCTCAGTGATTCTAAAGTTGTTGTGAAGTCTATGGTCATTAATTTTCACTGCAGAACTTTGAGCATCTTAATCGCATCTTGATGAGTGCGCTGATTTGTAAGCAGTGGAAGCAGGCTCTCTGGTCACGGAGGAGAGGAGCTCATTCCGAGCACACTGAGGAGCCCATGCAGCCTTGCTGTGGCTGAGTACGTGACTTGAGGCTCAGCTACCAGGGAAACTGGCTTTGTTGCCTGTAATGTTTGTCTTGTCTGTGGTGGTGAAGAAAAGTAGAATCATCTAGAAGAGACACTGTGCCATGGCAGACCCCTTGTCTAGACAATGTTCCACGGCAGACCCCTTGTCTCAGCTCTCCATGCTCTAAGTTAAGGCTGTTCCTGAGCATGAAACCAACTCACTCTCCTGCTTTCCATTGCCATGAGACAGGAAAATGGGTCTCAGTTAAAAAGACTTTTCTCTCTGCTCTGAGCACTGTTTTATCCCATGTTCGCTAGAGCCTGGCAGAGCTGAGGTCCCACCTCCTGACTTACTGGATAAGGAAGCCAGGCGTGTGGAGATGCTGGCTTAGCAGCCTGGGATCCTTGTGAAGGAGACTGGTTTTAGCCCATGTTGTTCCTCCTCATAAGAGCGGTCTTCCCATGGAGCTAAGATTTCTAGGCCAGCAGGGTATGAGGCAGTGGGCACAGGAAGCAAAAGTTTTTTGTTTTTTTTTTTTGTCTTTTTTCATTTTTATCGGTACCGGGGATCGAACTCACGACTGCCTGCTTGCAAGGCAGGCACTTATGCCGCTGAGCTAAATCCCCAGCCCTAGGAAGCAAAAGTTTTGCTGGTGTCACTAGGGGTAATGGTGAGTGGTAACATTCCCCAGTTTTCCCCCTGTTTCCTGTACTGTGAACCCTGGCTATGGGAGACATATTATTAGATGTTGACTTGGCATATATCCAGCCTTCTGGAGAACCTTGGCCCAGTCTAGCAAGTTACTGCTATCTACCTGGCACTGGAATTTCATCTTAAAAAGGCCATTCCACTGTTCGTCAGTCCAGTTGCTTCTGGATGGTGGGAGACATGGTAAGACTGATGAATTTGGTAAGCGTGAGCCCACTGCCACACTCCTTTGGGTAACCTGCATTCATTGGGCAGAAGTAAGGTGTGAGATACCATGGGGGCAGATGAAGCGTTCTGTAAATCCATGAATGGTCATTTTGGCAGGTGCATTACCTGTAGAGAAGAAAGACCCAGACCTGGAATGTATGTCTATTCCTGGAAGGTTAAAGCATTGCCATTTTGATGACACAAGTGCCCCAGTAGAAACCAACTAGAAAGTTTGGTGTGCCCCTGTGCTAGGACCATGGAGGTATATATAGAGAAAAAGTCATTTTCCAACCTGATAGATGTACGCAGACCACTAGAAGATGCGTTAATTGGCTCAAGTGAGGAAACCACGGGCAGAACAGCTGCAGTTGGTGTTGTCCTTGGAGTAAGTCCCTGGGAGCTCACTGTCATTCCCCAAGATCCATTCCTCTTCTGCACAGGCCAAGTGGAAGAGTTACATGGGGATTAGGAGGAACCACCACCCCTGCATCTCTGAAGTCCTGTGTGGTGACAATCGTTGCAATCCCTTTGGGGATGTAATATTATTGTTCATTTAGTATTTCCCTGGATGGAGGATATTCTATTGATTTTCATTTGGCTTTTACAATCATAATAGTCCCTGCTGCATAATTTCAGGAACCAATATGAGGATTCTTCCAAGTATTGTATCTTTCCCAATTATGCATTTCGTAAATGGGGATTTATAAAACTACTACATTTTAAGAATCATTATGAAATCAGGTTGTTTGTGCCTTAAGCAACTGATATCGTTATTGTCTGCAGAAATGAAAGACATGCCTTCCACTTTGCAAGTGTTTTTCCCAGGCGGACATGGGTTTTATACAGTCTGTCTTGGCAGGAGCAGCTGTTCACCTGCATCTCCCACTTGCAGCCCTTGCCTATTCCGTGCCTGTGACTGTGACTCATTGCTTTGCACACAGTCTGTTATGTGAGTGGGGAGGCTTAGTAGATATCATCTGCTGTGGACTGAATGTCCCCCTTGATTCACCCTGAGCCTGTACACTCCTAGTGTGATGGTAGGAAGCTGATCTCCTGCTGTGATTACATGTGAAGGTGGAGAATGTTTGGAATCTGAGCCTTCTGCAGGGTCCCTAGTGGCTCTCTCCACCTCTGTGATGCCTGGGGAGAAGGCTGCTGCCCACCTCGGGGTGGGGCGCCTGCTGATAGCAGACCTCAAGTCAAAGTCCTTTATCCACAGTGGTGGAGCTTCATGTCTGCTGCTGAGGCCACCCCAGCCTTTGTGTTTGTGTTACTGTAGCCCAGACAGATTCATAGCGCCCAGTCCTCTTCTGAGCTTCCGAGGTACTATGGGTGTTATAGTTTAAAGTGTCCCAAGTGGTCATGTTTTCAGTGGTGGAGACTTCAAAAGTGATTGCATAAAGAGCACTCTAACTTCACTAAGGCACAATGCACTGGAAATGCTGTAATTGTGGCATTTCTGGAGATAACTTACGAGGATTAATGACATTTTAACTCACACAGATTGTAACTTCAGCATCACTTGCCTTGAGAATTCCACATTCGTTTATGATCTTCTGGAATTCATAGTTATAGAAGAAAAGTCAGATGTCAGAATTCTTTATGCACTTTGAGAAAAATTCCATATTTTCTTTCCATCATGAAAAGTCGGACTCTTTCCTTTTTATTTTGTGTTATGAACTTTCTGATGAGGTCTAGATTTCGTTTTATCATTCAGGTTCTTTCTTGACATTTGATAGACTATTGCTCAGAAAAAAGGAGATATGTATTTCTTTATCTTTGGAAAACTTCTATATTTTTGAGAATTACTTACTAATTTTATACTGCCTTCATTTTATAGCTTCTTTAATGAGATAGATGCATGAGGCTATCTTTAATTTACTCTATTTTTTCTCTTCCTTATATGTTTTGTGCTTTTGGACTAACTCAAATATATCTTGTTTATTTTATTTAAAACAAATGCTTTTGGCACTAATTCATAAATGGATAAAAACTTACTTCTACTTCTGGTCTTTACCAAGAGCATTTTATCATTGTGTTATCAGTGCCATTTGTCAGAGGCCATTTGTATTTGTGTACTTTTCCCATCATCTGATGAAAGTCCTGATGTAATATTATTCTTGTTTGTGTATTTACACTGAAGAATCAATGATGTGTGCTAGGGAGGCAGATTGTACTTCCCAAGCTGCTTTATGGGAAGATCTGTTTCCCTGATAAGAGCTTCTCTGAAAGGCATCACCAGTTTGCAATTTTGTCCATAGGGAGGTCATGATGATGAGAAATTGTCATTTTCAGGTGCAGTGTGTAGATACTGCCCAGTAGACTGATCATTTTTGTGGTCTTTGAAGCTATTCTGAAAGTTAAAGTTATTTGTCATTTAGGCTTCACCAGAGTTACTGGGTATTTGCTCAAAAATTATCCACACCATTTCTGGGGAAGAGTAATTTAGATAAGGTTCATATGTGTTCTACATGAGTTTATATCACGGTCAGCAATGAGTGTCCACAAGAAGACCCAAGAAGCTCAAGAGAACAGACTTCATAGTGCTCATGGGGCCCAGAGGCAGGAGGCCTGCAGACCATCCAGCACTGCATGGGTAGTCGCTGGTCATCAGGAGGTGAGGACAGGAGCCAGGTGCTATGGAAGACAGCGCATTCTCAGAACTGCCATGGGAAACACAGGCACAAACCAAGCATTCAGCGTGGCCTGGTTTGGATCATATCTGTGGTTTTAGTCAGCCAAGCGGCCCCTCATGTCTTGTCCCTGAAACCTTTAAGACAAAGTCTATCCAAGGCCACTGATGAAGTGTCCTGTGTCCTCTGCATACTGTTAAAGTATCCTGTGCTACATCTAAGAACTGGCTAGTCCTGGGAGAAGCACTTCTGTTCCTAGCCTGAAAGATTCTGTGGTTTTTACAATGTTAAAACATCATAAGATGGAGACACTAAGGTTTATTCACCTTTAAATAACACAGCAAATCACTCTCCCTTGTGTGCATGAAGCTTATTCAGTGAATCGGTTAAAGATTAGCAAAATCCAGACTGACCCACTCTGAAGACAGGAGAAATTCTGCTAGCACAAGAAATTCTGCTTACAGCACAATGCTTCCCTGAGCCTCCAGCCTGCCATTCGCCATCAGTGCCCCAAGCCATCCCATCCCTGTGAGCTGATTCCATACAGTAACAGCCTCTGCACCCATTCCTTCTTGGAGAAGCATTCTAGAATAGACTTTGCTGCTGAAGGTGAGGTCCTTTGAGATAAATAGAATCCTAAATTTGACTTTCTGAGGGGTTTTGGAGTTGCTGGAATGGGGCCTGCAGTCAGATGAACTCAGAGAAACTCATGGGTCTGTTTCTAGCAGGCTGGAGAATGGTGCCGAAACTTTTAGAGCTGTCAGTGGCAGTCAGCACCTGTGGAGTCCTGCGTGCTAGAGGCTCAAGACCACTGCTCTAGAGATACACAATGTCACCAGTGGATGTGCTTCTACACGCTCCTGGGGCAGAAGGGTCCCAGTAATCAGCACCGCGGCAGGGCTCTTTGATGGGGGCACAGGCTTGCAATGCATAGTGCTTCCCTCCCACCCAGGGCTGAATGCCTACACACTTCACCTTCCCCACTGGCCTGGCCTGGATCTGTCACTTCCTCTCCCTCCATCCTCAGATCCCCTTCCCATCTTCCTTCCTTTCTGTGGCTCTTTACTATGTTTTTTGGTAGTTTTTATTTTGCTTATCTCACATTACAGAGATCACGTAATATTTAACCTTTGTGGCTGACTTATTTCCCAAGCATTATGGGCTCTAGTCCCACCCACTTTCCTACACACAAGTCCACTTTATCTTCCTCTGTGGTGGAGTGGTATGACATGTGCCAGTACTGCATCTCCTTCCTCCATCTGTGGACTGATGGACCTATGGCCACTTTCCTGATCTAACTCTTCTGAGTTGTGTTGTTACAGACGTGAGCATGTGTCAATGCAGTGGGATGGCTTTTTGTTTCTCCGAGAAGACACCAAGGAATAGTTGGGTCAAGTGGAATTTCTTCTTTCAGTTTCTTGAGAAGCGTCCACATTGATTTCCCCAGTGGTTTGAGAATGTCTTTTGACAAATTCTGCCTGTTTGACTTGGATTACTCTCTTGCTGTGAAATTATTTTAGTTTCTTATTTACTTTGAATGTTAAGCTCTGTTATTGCCTGTGTCTAGATGTCCCCCTGAAGCCCCATGTGTTCATAGGTGGGGCTTTTAGGAGGGGGCTAGGTCTAGGATGTGTGGTGCTGAGATCAAAGGTGTGATGATGGAACTGATTCTTGGTGTGATGCTAGGATTAAGTGTGCCCTCCTTGGGTGTGAGTGCTGCGGTCCTAAGGGTGGGCGACATGGGCTGGTTAGAAGGGTCAGAAAGACAGTCACCTGTTGATCGTTGCTATGGTTTGCCGTTTGCTGCTTTTGCTTCCTTCAGTCAGCTATGGACTGTTTCTCCTCTGTGATGCCCCTCTGCCATGCCAGCCTCCCTCAGAACCGGCCAAGTATGGACTGAAACAGCTACAGACTGTGGGCCAAATAAACCTTTCCACCCTTAACTTTGGGCATTGGGGTTTTAATCAAGACACACTGGTACCTCTTTTCTCTTAATTTGTGGCTTTTTTCTTTATTTTTATTATTGTATTTTAAGAGCAGAAGATTTAAACTACGATACAGTGTTGTCTATTTCTGATTTAGTTGACTGTGTTTTGGGGGATCATAGTTAAGAAATTGTTGCCCAAGCCATGTTATAACACTTTAATTGTATGATTTTTCTAATTTTAAATTTTACATTTAAATTCTTTAGGATTTTGAGTTGATTTTGTGTATGAAAGATTAAAGGGATGGAGAATTCTGAAAACTGAACCTAGAGTCTTTTTCTGCAAGTGGCTATATCACAACGAAAATCGAACTCCTGGATTCACAGCATGTAGTCCTGTAGCAAAGGTGTTCACTGGGAGAAATAGAATCCTAAATGTGAAGAAGCTGGTGTGCAGGAGGATTGCTGAGGCTAGTGCCCGTGAGCCCCCAAATTCTGGAGTTTTCTGCCGGTATAAATAACCTCTCCTTGCCACCTGTGGCTGTCACACCTGCGTCACTATGGAGGTGGCATTGTCACGCCCTGACACAGGTGCCCTGGGGCACACTGGGGAGCATCTTTGCGGCTTTCTCACTTTTTCTGTGATTCATTACCTGTGATGAGACTCAAAACCCCTAAATGTGAGGATAAAGAGTGACCCTTGGAAAAGTGTCCATCAAAAAGCTCTTCTATTTTTCTGACTTATGGAAAAAGAAATCTGGGATATGAATATGGGAAAAGATATTTGGGTATAGAATAATGGAAAAAACAGAAAGGTAGGTCAGCCCATTTTATCAATGATTGATGTTTTGTAGAGCTGAGAAGATCAAACCCTGGCTTCCCCCATGCTAGCAGGAAGAGCTCTACCCATGAGCTACACCCCGAAAGAGTGAATGTGGGTTTCTAACCAGAGTCTGTGTTCAGAGTTGAGGCTTAGTGAACAGGAAGAACTGCAGCTTTGGCTGAGAACAAACGCCTTTATCTGGAGTAATTTTTATTTATCTGTATAAATGACAGAAGCAGAAGGTAAAGTTCGTTTCAGATTAAGCTGATGGAAGGATCAGCACCCCGTTAGGAACAGAAAATAAACTTCCTAGGAAAAGGGAGGTTACTAGCTGCACCCCTCATGGTGTCTGCAGAGAAACAGGGAGGCAGGGCCTGGAGGCAGCGAGGCCTGCTTGGAGATAACTTTAATAGCTACAAAGAAAGCTTTCCCTGCTGAGGTAGGACAGCCCATTGTCAAGCCCTGGGGCCAAGCAGCTGTCTCAGGGACCTCAGCCAGCATCCTTGATCTCACAGGGACCCTCTGAGTCACCCACCTGTGTTAGAGGAAGTGATTTCTTTTGCACCATGACCATCCATTCTCTGGCCCAAGCAGGCTTTGTGGACTGGGTTGTACCTCATTCTAAACCCACACGCTCACCCCAAGCTTTCTGAACCTCTTCCTAACCAAGACACAGTAGGTATTGTGGCCTGAAGATGATTGCTTCCAGAAAACCTTTATTAAATCAGTGATTAGATATCTTTCACATGGCTTCTGCATTTTCTTTTCAAATCACTGCAGGTTCAGGCACAGCACTTGGCTTGCCCATTGTAACAGGTACCAACGATTTGAGAATAGATGGGGCAGTTGTAATAGACACAGCTCCCTCCCTTCTGGACGCACTTTTCATTGTCAGAGGTACTTTCTTGACCACTGTTCAGGCCAGCCAGGATGCCAGCACCTGGAAGGAGGGAAAAGGACAGCTCACACTGGGCTGCTGGTGACAATGACTTAGGATTCGGGAAAGGCAGGCAGACACCTGTTTGAGGCAGGTGGGCTTCCTCTCTTTCTAGGTTTTCATGCAGAGTCAATTTTGGCCTCCAAATGCTGTAGCTGTGTGAGGTGCTCAGTCCTAGGCATGGACCCTATGACTCTGGTTGGAGTTTCTTCTGCCAGAGATGCTAAGTAGTTGTGACCTCACGGTACCATTCTCCAAACTACATTCTCTATTGATAAAATACCAAAGCTCTTTCCTTTCCAGAGCACAGACTACACTGGCTGCCTCAGGTCCTCTGTCACAGGGTCCCTCTTATCTGAGCCCCTCTCCCCCACCGTGGACATCACCCTTCTGCTGGAAACAGAGATATTTTGCTATCAGGGCAAGATTTAGGCTGCTGCAGAAAAGGTTTTTGAGCTTTTTTTCTGTTGGAATTCATTCTGCCTTCTGCCCAGAATCACAGTTTCCCAAGGCTTTCTGCCATATCCCAGAGGGAGCAAAGGTTCCCTGTGCTGTTCTAGTGAGTGACCTCCAAGCTAAAGGGTCTTCAGCCTCTTGATGGGAGTCCCAGGCCAATCTGTGTCCTGTCAAAATCACTGTGTCCACCTCCACCCCCAGACACTCAGATTACGACTGGACATTCAAAAGGACAATTTTATTTGAAGATCGGCCATTTAAGAGGTGAACTACCGTCCAATGAGGTTGTTAGCATGGGTTCTAACCAGTGTGAGTGCTGTGCTTGTGAGGAGAGATGAGAATACAGACAGGAGGTGCATGGGTGGGGAGCAGGAAGCTGCAGGCACAGATGTGGTCAGCTGGCAGCCTTCAAGCTCCCAGAAATACAAGAGAATCGTAGGAGGCCCCAGCCTTACACTACAGGGAGCAGCGAGCATTGTGAGGCTGCCTGCAGGATCCCCAGCACACACAGATGGGAACCTGCAGACTCAAACCCAGGAGACACATGGGGCATCCGAACCTACTCTCTCAGACTGGTGTGGCATGGGAAGTAGACCTCGTAGCGTGAGGAGACTCCCTGCAAGTCAGAGGGATTCCCTTTACATCATGAAAGTTTGGGTTCTCAGGGGGAAAAAAGGGCCCTGGAATTTTGATCCTTGTGCTGAACTTGAGAGCCCAGCGTCAAACCGTCCATTCCTGCCGGCTCCTGGTTGCAGGTCACTGAGCCATAGGAAACACTCCTGCTGCAGACCACTCTGCATGGGGAGCAGAGCAGGGTCCCTCCATGGGTCTTTGGGACTCAGCACAGCCTGAGGCTTACCTGGGGCAACATAACAGGCAAGGAAGCAGAACAGCAGCAGCAGACAGCAGTGAGTCCTCATGGTCCCCATTTGGCCTCACCAGGATGTGGGAAAGCAGCCGCTGTTCCCTCTGAGCTTGAGCCGGCACAGGCTTGCAGAGGCTGGAACACGGTGGTATTTATAGGGATGCAAGATTGCACAACTTCATAGACAGGCTGGAGGAGGTGTTAACATCCCCAGTGAAGCTCTAATAAATAAACTTCATGTCCTTTGGCTTGAGCGGTCTCCAAGTCCCATGGTCACATTGTGCCCCTGCAGTTCAGGCTGAGTTTAGCTCCCATCATGGAAACCCAGACTCACACCTCCTGCCAGGCCTGTTTGTTCTCCAGGTTGGATGGTACTTAGGGCTTTCTCAGAGCAGCTTAGAGTAGGTTCCCTCCTGCAGCAATGGCTGAGAGGCCCTGGCTGGAGGCCACACCCCAAGCCGGTTCAGGCTGCTACTGATCCTTTCCCTTGAACTGTCTCCCTTGTTCCTCCCTCTGTGTTGCTGTTCCCTTGCTCTGTTTCCTGGCTGCATGAGCTAAGCAGCTCTCTTTGCTGTACCCCTCTGCCTTGATGATCCTGCCTTGGAGCCAGCTGACCACGGCCTGAGAGCCCTCAGACCACGAGTCACCTAAATGTCTCCTCTTCAAAGAGGAGGGAGCCAGCTGTTTGGTCCCAATAATGGGGAAGCTGATCAGCACACAAGGACTCTATCTCCAGCACCACTAGCTGAACAGGACCCATGGGTTCCATCTGAGCATCACTTTCCTTGGCAACTCCGGAAATCATTCTTACAGAAGAGAAGACTGATACTAACCTAATTTATGTGCTTTTGCAGAGGACACCATGTTTCTTTGCTCATTAGAAAACTGAAGATCTGTGCGTAGTTTTTGATGTGAAATTTTATGAAACAACATGAACATGTTAGTGTTTGTTCTCTCAGTGCCTCCCTGGCATTTGATAGGGTGTTGCACTTTAGAAATTCTAAAAGGCTCATATCTTCCCTCTGTGGATATATCATCAACATATCGTACCTTTTCTTCTCAACTTTCCTAATGTCTCTAAGTCTTCTAGACTTATTAAAATGCTTTACAAGTTTGATTAAAAATTTTTATTGCCGGGTCTGGGGATTTAGCTCAGCCGCATAAGCACTTGCCTTGCAAGCAGGCAGTTGTGAGTTCGATCCCAGGCACAGATAAAAAAACAAAAAAATGTTATTGCCAGTAATTCTGCATAGGCTCATATCATCCCCCTGTTCTGGTATCTCCCAAAGCATTTCATTGTTTTCTTATGGATGCTGTTTGTCGGAACCCTTTGTGGTTGTGTAAAATGGCATTGTCCCTGACATGACATAAGTCTCTGATGTCTTGTTATTCTTAGCTGTGTATTTGCATTGGAAGATGAAGAGCCACACTGCATTCTAGGGAGGCAAGGTGTGCTTCCTGAGGTATTTTATTGGGTGATCTGTTTTCCTGATAAGCTCGTCTTTGAGAAACCCAAGCAGTTGGCACTTTTGTGCACAGGTAGTTCATGGTGATGTGAAATTGTCATTTGCAGTGTACATTGCAGGGTACAGAATGTGCATTTCTATTGCTCCGCTAAGGGTCCTCAGAAGGTTAAGTGTGTTGAATACCTTGGTGGCCCAAGGCTAGCAGATACTTGATCACGCATTATTCTGGGAAAGGCTCATCTGGGTGAGGTTAACATGTTCCTATATCATGGACCATCGCGTGTGTCCACAAGAGGACCCAGGAGAAGATGAGAAGGGTTCAAGGTCCCAGGCTAAATGCTGTGGAGTCCTACGTGGGGTAGCACTGGAGAGACAGGAGGTGGAAGATGGGAGCAAGAGGAGGAGGCAGCAGGCGGTGCTCAGCTTCCTCGAGGATGTCAGGCAGGGTGGAGACTGGGGTTGCCCTGGTTCGGTCCTTGCTGTGAACCTTGGTCTGTGGATGGTCCCCATTACTGTCATTTGGCTTTCTGATAACTGCAGTAGAGGAGTCTCTTTCCTGGGAACAAGGGCCTGAGAGGAAGGAAGGTCTGGGTGGTTAATTTGCATGTCCCAGGGCCTCTCCAGGAGGGCACTGTGTTCCATCCAGGAGGTGGGCAGTCGTGGACAGGCACTGCCCTGACCGCAATGGCCTGCCTGCCTGCTTCCTTGCTTCCTTCCTATGTTCCTTCTTTACTTCTTCCTATCCTTTTCACATTATTTGCTTCCTTCTTTGTCTCCTCATGTCCTTCCCTTCTTTCCTTTCTTCCCTCAATCCATTTTACCTTCTTTCATTTCTTTTTCCTTTCCTTCGCGCATTCTTTCCTCTGCCATTCCTTCTGTCCTTCTTCTCTTCCTTCTCTCCTTCTTCTCTTCCTCTTCCCCCCTTCTTTCTTCATTCTTTCCCTCCCTCCTTTTCTCCATCTCTTTCTCTCTTTCTTTTATTTTTGCTGATTACAATACCAAGACATCATAGTGTGTAGGAAATAATAAATATTTACCACAATGTGTGAACTCACAGATGTGTCCTTTCGTTACTTGCCCCAGTGAAGGTGCGATTTGTGCAATTAGAGATTAATTGAACAAAATCTGACTTCTTAGAGGAGAGGATGACTACTACCTCCAAACAGGAACAGAGACCCGTGGCTCTGTGGAAACCCAAGGTACTGCCCCAGGATGCTTCACTTCAAGCACTTTCAGGAAGCGAAGCCCTGGTGATAGTGTGGGTGACGTTCTGGACTCTGTTGTTAAACACTAAGCATGATAGGAATGGAGCACTTCTGCTAGTAGTCCTGTACACAGACGGGAAATGAAAGGATCACCAGCGATCTAGTCTTCCTCCACAGGAACTAGAAATTTGACCCAAAAGTCCCAGTGTCTGCCCAGATGGAGAACATCTCTCCCCTCCAGAGCAGAAGACAGATTAAAAAATGCTAATACTGGTGAACTGACACCCGATAATGGTGTACATTATGGGGATACAATGTAACATTTTGATACAGGTAACACAGAACAATTAAAGTTAATTCACATATCTATCACATCATTTTCTTATCCTTTTGTGATGAGAACATTGAAGTTTACTATCCCAGCTCTCATAAAATATAAAATTTTTATTGTGATGACAAGGGCCAAATTGTCCGCAATAGATCTCCTAATTTATTCCTTCTAACCAGAACTGTGTAGTTCTTTGACCCAATCTTTGTGTGCGGGTTTGTATCTAGATGTCCAGCTGTAACCTCGTACAGTCAATCCTATGGCTTTTACAGAGGTGGCTGAATGGAGAGTGTGTGGTGCTGGATCAAGAGTTTGTGCTTAGTAAATCAGTCCACTGGAAGGTTTGGCATAGCTTGGACTAGGATTGAGGGGGTGCATGCTACACCTGCCCTAGGGCAGGTAGCCTGCATACAATGCAAGGGACAGAAAGAGTCTCCTTTATTTCTTTTATTTATTTTGCTATCTTCCACCACCATTAACTTTTGCCCTCTCCCATGAGCTACCCTACCTTGGAGCCAGTGATTATAGACTGAAACCTCCACAAACTGTGAGCTAAATAAAACTTTCTTCCCCTGAATTTAGGGGTTCAATATTTTGTCTTAGCAACAAGAAAAGCCAGCAACACACTTCTTGTCTCCTCCACTTAACCTCTATCTACTACTATCTACTTTTCTGCTGCTGTGAGTTTGAATTCTTAGGTTCCAAATGGTTGAGACCATGCAGTACTTGTGGCTCTATGACTGGCTGAATTCACTTAGCTTAATGCCCTCCAGGCTCACCCCTAACTTGCAAATGACAGACCCTTATTTCTTTAAATGTCTGAATGGTGCTCCCTTGTGTGCCTGTGTGTGATATTTTCTGCTGTGATACTTACAGTGCTGCACAGTTAGTTGATTCATTTCTTTGTCTACTGTCAATAATGTTGCTATGATACTAAGGGCACATACGTCTTTTGCAAATTTACTTCACCTCCTTGGTAGAGTATACGATAACCATAGTGGGAGTGTTATTAATGTAGTATGATTTATATATACTGTCTATCTTTCTCTCTCTCTCTCTCTCTCTCTCTCTCTCTCTATATATATATATATATATATATATATATACATATATATATATATAACTTTGTCTCTGTCTTTTTTTTAAATATTTCTACTTTGGGCAAACTTTAAATCTTCTAATACACATCTCCAATGCATACTGATTGCATTCAGTTTGGAAAGTTGATTTCCCTGCTACATATTAATTTTTCCTGCCTCTTCCTCTTCTTATTCTCACCCTCATACCATCTCTTCATCCCTTTTCAATTTGAAAAATATTGATCTTCTTGTGTCCTATTATCTATTCTTTATTTTGTTCTTCCAATTATTTATACATTGGGCTTCTCACATGAAAGAAATCAGGCCATATTTAAGCTTGTGTGACTGATTTATTTCCCTTAACTTTCTGGTTTCAAGGTGCATCTGTTTTCCAATAAAAGATTTGAATGCATCTTCTTCATTGCAGAATAGCATTCAATGGTGTACACATGCTACATTTTCTTCATTTCAATATTGTTGGACATACAAGCTACTTCCAAGACTGAGCAATTATGAGCTGTGGTGCTACAAATGTGCTTACACAATGATCACTGTAATATGAAGTCTTTAGTTCTCTCTGTAAGATTGCTCAAAGGGAAATCACTAGATGGATGGAATTTGTAGTTTTAGTTTTTTGAGGGATCTACATTGATTTCCACAGTGGTTGCCATGGTTTTATCTCCAGCAATAATTTAGAAGTATTCCTTTTCCCACGCAGCCCTACCTGCCTCTGCTACAATTTAATGTCTTGATGAGAGCCATCCCTCCTGGAATAAGATGGAATCTCATTGCTTTTTTAACTTAGATTTCTCCAATGGCTGGAGATATTGAACATGTTTTTAATATTTTTATTGGCAGCTTGTGCTATTTCTTTTGAGATGTGTTTATTCATATCTGATGAGTCCTTTTATCTCATTTATTTCTTGCTTTATTGATTTTAGATAGTAGTCTTCTGTCCAAGGAAGACCTGGAAAAATCTCTTCCCATCCCCCAAGCTGTCTCTTTATTCTATTGGCTGTTTCCTTTGCTGCCAGGAGGTAAGTTAAGCTAAGCTGATTTGTAGAAACATGATGGTGTTCCTTATGAAACTAGGATTCTGTTCCATAAGTTCTTCCCTATGTCACTGATAGTTTTGCATATATTCCAGCAGATTAAGTGTGTCTGACTTCATCTATAGGTCTGCAATCTATTTTAAATTAGGTTGGTACATGGTGAGTGACATGGCTCTAGATGTTACCTTCCACGTGTGCATCATTTCCTCAGCATCTTCTGTGTCATGGCCTGCCTTACCTTCAGCAGGGTTTTGTCTCTATTCTCAAAGATCACACACTGAAGGTGCCTGGGGTGCTTTCTGCCTTTTCTATTCCAGTCCATTAATCCAAACATATGCTCACATGATAGTACTATGCTAGAGTTTTTTTTAAATCACTCTAGCTTTCTACCTTGAAATTCAGGATTGAGATGCCTCTTGCTTTAGCATTATCATCCAGGATTGCTTTTGCTATTCTGGGTCT